GACCTCTAGGAATCGAAGAATTACAGATAAATTTACAAAAAAAATTTCACTACGTGAACCGAAAACTTAATATTGCTATCACAAGAATTGAAAAACCTTACGGAAACCCTAATATTCTTGCAGAATTTATAGCCGGGCAATTAAAGAATAGAGTTTCATTTCGAAAAGCAATGAAAAAAGCCGTTGAATTAACTGAACAAGCAGACACAAAAGGAATTCAAGTGCAAATTGCAGGGCGTATCGACGGAAAAGAAATCGCACGTGTTGAATGGATCAGAGAGGGTAGGGTTCCGCTACAAACAATTCGAGCTAAAATTAATTATTGTTCCTATAGAGTTCGGACTATTTATGGGATATTAGGCATCAAAATTTGGATTTTTATAGACAAGGAAGAAGACTAAGAAAATTTTAATTGTTTTTCGCTTCTATGCATTGATTGAATAAAAAAAGGAAACCAATTCATTCTTTTTCTGGTCAATCAAACTAATTCTTAATTCTAGAGGATTGAATAAAAAGTAGATTGACTTTGTGATATAATTGCTATGCTTAGTGTGTGACTCGTTGGTTTTTTTAAGGTTAGGGTTAAAAACCCGGTAGTATGAAAACCAATTCATCACTTCGTATTATCTGGATCGAAAGAACCAGTCAAGATATGATAAATCGTTCATATCCTTGTAGCAACTGAAATTTTTTTGAATAAACTTAAATTCGCAGTTTGAAGCAAAATCCAAAAGAAAGGGGCGGATAAATGGAAGGATGAGAGAAAGAGAGAAAAAAATATCTCGGATATAGAATTCCAATATGTAAGGTCTATGAAACATCTCATAAAAGACAGTGTAATAAAGCATCAATACTAAATAGATTAATAATTAAATATTAAATGAATCCTTCTTAATATAATATAAGAAAAAAGTGTTTTTTACGAAGAAAATTAAGGGCTTGGAGCCAATAAAGACTAAGAAAGTTGACTCAAAAATAAATTGTGTTATGAGCTCCGTTGTAGAATTCTGACCTAACCATTTAAGTACGAAGCGGTGGGAACGATGAGACCTGTGACCGAAAAAAAATTTATTGAACAAACAAATCTTACTCATTCACTAGTAGGGATGGCGAAATGAACCAAAAAGAAATCTGAGAAGTCACGAAGAAGCGCTACGACTGAATATAGAGATTACAAAAGGAAATATTCGCCCGCGAAAGCTTTTTTCTTTGACTTGGTAGAAGGACAAAAGAAACTAAAGATTTATTAGAAGGTTCGAAAAAATTATTATTTTGATTTTGAAAATATTTTAGGAAAATGTGCGAATATCTGTTCAAATTAATTGAAATTGAATTTTGAATCCTTTCTATTCGCGAGGAGCTGAATGAGAAGAAACTCTCATGTCCAGTTCTGTAGTAGAGATGGAATTCCGAACCAACTATCAACTATAACCCAAAAGAACTAGATTCCGTAAACAACATAGAGGAAGAATAAAGGGAATATCATATCGAGGTAATCATATTTGTTTCGGGAAATATGCTCTTCAGGCACTTGAACCCGCTTGGATCACATCTAGACAAATCGAAGCGGGTCGACGAGCAATGACACGAAATGCACGCCGTGGTGGAAAAATATGGGTGCGTATATTTCCAGACAAACCAGTTACAGTAAGACCCGCTGAAACACGTATGGGTTCTGGGAAAGGATACCCGGAATATTGGGTAGCTGTTGTTAAACCAGGGAAAATACTCTATGAGATGGGTGAGTAAGTGAAAATTGCTAGAAGGGCTATTTTAATAGCCGCATCCAAAATGCCTATACGAACTCAATTTGTTATTTCGGTCTAAAAATGTAGAACCGACAGAAATGAGTTTTGGGAATGAAACAAAATTGCAGGTTTCTTTTTTTGGACAACCAATATCTCTTTTAGTTTTTTCATCTTTTGCATTGAAAGAATAGAGCAAAAACTTGATATGATTCAACCTCAGACCCATTTGAATGTAGCGGATAACAGCGGAGCTCGAGAATTGATGTGTATTCGAATCATAGGAGCTAGTAATCGTCGATATGCTCATATTGGTGACGTTATTGTTGCCGTGATCAAAGAAGCAGTACCAAATATGCTCCTAGAAAAATCCGAGGTAGTCAGAGCTGTGATTGTTCGTACCTGTAAAGAACTTAAACGTGACAGCGGTATGATAATACGATATGATGACAATGCTGCAGTTGTAATTGATCAAGAAGAAATCCAAGGGGAACTCGAATTTTTGGCGCAATTCCCCGGAATTAAGACAATTAAATTTTACTAAAATAATTTCATTAGCTCCCGAGGTATTATAAAATAAAATAAGATCGTGATATCTTTGATTTATTTGACAGAAATAAATTAATAACGAAATTAATTCGTAGTATTGTGTCTCACGTATACACCTTGCAAAATTCATACTTCGAAACCAATAAAAACAAAAAAAACATGTTGATTATATCCAATTTGAAAGCAACAATCATCTTAGTTCATCATGGGTAGAGACACTATTGCTGAGATAATAACCTCGATACGAAATGCCGATATGGATAGAAAAAGAGTTGTTCGCATAGCATCTACTAATATTACCAAAAATATTGTTAAAATCCTTTTCCGAGAAGGTTTTATCGAAAACGTCCGAAAACAGAGAGAAAAAGACAACTATTTTTTGGTTTTAACCCTGGGACATAGAAGAAATAGGAAAAGACCCTATAGAAAATTTTTAAATTTAAAACGGATTAGCCGACCGGGTCTACGAATCTATTCCAACTCTCAACAAATTCCTAGAATTTTGGGTGGGATGGGAATTCTAATTCTTTCTACTTCTCGAGGCATAATGACAGACCGGGAGGCTCGACTACAAGGAATCGGCGGAGAAATTTTGTGTTCCGTATGGTAATCCTTTTACTATCGAAATGGAATCCGAAACCTCTTCCTATTTGTAAAAAAAAGAAAGAGGATCAGTTGCCTAATATCCTTTCTTCACCATTAGTTGATACTTCAGGGGGTCTTTACCTGGAATGAAAGAACAAAAATGGATTCATGAGGGTTTAATTACTGAATCACTTCCCAATGGCATGTTCCGGGTTCGGTTAGATAATGAAGATCTGGTTCTAGGTTATGTTTCAGGGAAGATCCGACGTAGTTTTATACGGATACTGCCGGAGATAAAGTCAAAATTGAAGTAAGTCGTTATGATTCAACCAGAGGACGTATAATTTATCGACTCCGAAACAAGGATTCGAAAGATTAGGTGGTTTTTATTCACTACGATTCTAGATGAAAAATTTCAAGAAACTTCTTTTCTACCAAAAAGTAAATTCGGAATTAAGATATAAGATAAGGAATAAAAACTATGAAAATAAGAGCTTCTGTTCGTAAAATTTGTGAAAAATGTCGACTAATTCGCAGGCGGGGTCGCATTAGACTAATTTGTTCCAACCCGAGACATAAACAAAGACAAGGATAATCCGACTTGCTAAAGGACTCAATATACAAATAAAGAATCTCTTTTGACATGAAATGGATATATCCATATATTTCTGACTCATATTTATGAGATGATACAATATGGCAAAAGCTATACCGAGAACCGGTTCGCGTAGGAATGTACGTATTGGTTCACGTAAGAGTGCACGTAGAATCCCAAAGGGAGTTATTCATGTTCAAGCAAGTTTCAATAACACAATTGTAACGGTTACAGATGTACGGGGTCGGGTAGTCTCCTGGTCCTCGGCCGGTACTTGTGGATTGAAGGGTACGAGAAGAGGGACACCCTTTGCCGCCCAAACAGCGGCAGCAA